TATATATAAATTAATTATTTGTTTTTTAAAAAAAAGAGATTCTTTTTTTAAAATTATGAAGCCTAATAACACCTAAAATAATTTATTTATTTTTTATATCTTCTAAAATTCCTTTTTTGTGTATCGAAGAGATAAGTTTATTTGCTATATTTAAATTATTCTACCAAAATGTAATTGCACAAATTACATATTATAATTTTTAAAACCTATTATATTACTATCACTCTTAATTACCACTAAATTAATCATATAGCTCATTGCGCAAAATTTATTATGGATAAAGTCCCTTCATTTAAAAGAGTGACACAAGTCTCTCACTGGGGTAATATTCTGGGGCGTGACTTAGCCTCACACAAATTCTCTCGAGAACTTCGCAGCACTATTTTTCCGAAAGCACATACCCTTTCCTCTACCCCGTGGCATCAAATGGCTAAGAAATCGTGCAGGAAAAACAACTTAAAGGAACATTCCATGTTTAAGAGCTCAGAACTCAAAGAGGCTTAAGGTAGCGAGTAAGTTTATCACAGTTGAGTCTAAAAAAGGCAAAAGCTTTTTGATGTTACGGAAACCAGTACTTCTTGTTGTAAACATGCAAAATATTTAGTTTGGTGTGTTCACGTTTTAAACCATCGTCTGCATGGCAAAAATATGTTGTTGCGATTTCTATACTATGCCCGTTTGTTTTCTCGCTAAGGCAATAGAATTACGTGTAGATAGCGAAGAGGAACACGTATTTTTATTACATATTTAAAATACTATGGATTTTAACTTTAATATAAGGCTAAAAAAACTGTTCTTTTTACAAATGATAAAAAATAATTATGTTTATTAAAATTTTATTTTCATTATGCTCTATTATTTTGTTTTAAATCTTCAAGATAATACACGAAATCATCGTTTCAGTAATCATTAAACTTAGCAATAAATAGACGTGTCCATCAGTTTCATTTCGATAATGTTACACTATTTACCTTTTTTCTTTTAAATATTCAAAATAATAAATGAAAATATCATTTCAATGAAGTTATGAGTTGGGCCAATCAGTTATGGACCAATCAGTTTCAAAAGTAATTAAGTACTTTTCATGGCTTTTTACACTGCTGTCAAGTTATGAAGCGTATTTTTATTTGAAGATTGAAAAAATAAACTACCATTTTCTATACAGAAGAAAGACAAATGCTGTCAAACGAATTTTGCATTTGAGCGACTCAAATGATATATTTTATAATTTTCTATGCTATGAATAATTTCTTATAATACTTAATCTGATTTAAACTTATTTAATGGTGAAAAACTTGAAAAAATGAAACTTATATTAAAGGGAAACTATACTAGTTATAATACAAAGAATTTTACGAACATAATAAAATGAAGAAAAAAAAAGTTTTATAAAAACTACGTTTTGCGTGTGGATAAAAAAAAATATTTGACCCACAATGTAAGATGGATTAATTCATAACTTTCAAAAATTGTAGGGAGATTTTAAGTGGTGTAGATTTAATTGCGCGTCAAAAACAAAAAATATAATATCTGTTTTTTGCCGACTTTTAAAACAATGCATATTGGATAATGGATAACAATGGATACGTAATTAATTTATGATTTTTTTGGTATTATATAATTCACTTTTGCCAGACTGTGTTCGAAAATTTGACTAGCAATACATTTTAATCTGCTGCTGAAAAATCTGCCTGCCGTAATGGTAGTAGTAATACTTTATTTACGTCACACTAGAACTGCACAATCACCTGGGAAACATCCCTGAGGCTGATACGAAGATAGGCCATCACAGTTTTGATCATTTACATAGGGGATGGCTCCCGCGATTTAGTAGTTCAATGATTTGCGCAAGAAGTCAAAAATCTGCTAGTAATCAGAAAAACTTTGAAATCTATAATGTCATCCTGCTCCAGTTTTCCAGTTTACATGTGATCAAAATATTGCCTAGCAACGATTTTTTTTTCTACGATAGGAAGTTATCATTTTTACTAAGGTTAGGTTAGGGTTTTTAAAAACTGTGTTTGTGAAACTTCGTGGTATTGCGATACCTTAATAAAAAACAAAATAGAAAGATAACTGATTACTTAACAACCTTCCAGCTAGAAATGTTTAGAAAACAAAAGATAAAAAAATAAAATAAGGAGAAATTTTTTATCCGTTTATAACGTGGAGTTAGGTAATGACAAACTTTTTATTGGAAATATTATTAATTATTTATTATAAATTATTATTTATTATTATAATTGTTTGTTATTATTTATTATTACTACAAGTTATTATTAATTACTTATAATTATTATTATTTATTATTATTACAAATTATTTACTATCATTAATTATTTATTATTATATGGAATTATTGTACATTTTATTGCGTTTCTTGTTTATATATATGATAATTTTCATTCAGTAATCCCAAAGTTGATGAACTTTCTCTTCAAATCTAACTCTGTAGTAAAACAAAAGTTTAAAAAAGAAAGCAAATCATAAGCAATAAATTTTTATTTAATATAAAAAAACTATACATATCTTTTAAATCTCTGTATTATTTATCAATAATGTTTGATTTTCTGCTATAACTCGTTATCAATATACCCACGTAAATGAATATGTTTTGAAAATATTTCGATTTTAAATATTTAATGATTATTTACAAAAATGATACACTATGTTATATATTTTTTGATGTGTTATAAAGTTTTAGAAAACTAATGAAAATGAAAATAGCAACAAATAAATAATCTGGTACACTGTAAAAAATTCCGAATCAAATTGCAATAAAAAAATACCAGCATCTGGTGTGGAACTTTTTATATGTTACGGAGCGAAAAATTTGTTAAGCCGTAATTTTTGCAGTAATAATTACCGTAAAGCCACTGTAATTAAATAAATATTACTGTAAAATTTATGGTATAAAATTTTACGGTAAAATTGATTTTACGGATGATGCACCAAAAGTACTGGTTTCTTATACCAAAATTTGATCTGGAATTTTTTAAAGTATAATTTTCTAACAAACAGCTGTAAATTCACATTTAGAATTTAATTTAGAAAGTACCATTCAGTTCCATTTTAAATGTTTTAAATATATTTAGTTTATTTAACACTCAACAGGTCCGCGAGATAAAGTATGGGGAATTCGTAATCCTAAGCTGTTAACACAGAAGCAAATTGGGGCATCGTTTCGGCATTGTTTCTTCTGGAAGCTCCCATCAGGGTTACACTTAGGAATAATCATGCCTGGATAATCTAGAATTAATGAGAAAAATCATTATTAAGTGAAAAAGGAAAAGAATTAGCATTTCAAAAAATATTGAAATATGAATATGAAACCATCTCTGGAATATTTCTTAAAGATTTAAACAATGTGATTCTTGTTCAGAATACTATTAAATAATAATTTTGAATTTTAATGTATTACAATTTGTAATTTTTTTTATATATATCCTAGTATTACTCTTTAAGATTTACAGTTCTATCTTTTAAAGAAATAATTTAATCTTTCCATTATGCAATTCACGTTGAATATCAGCTAATATGAAATATTATTTATCAATAGATATAAAAATGAAATATTTTCCAAATTTTATTTTTAATTATTTTTCAATAATTTTAACTCTTAAAAGTTTTTGACCACGTTGTCGTTATAAATTACAAGGAGTATTCTGATAACTGATAATAAGCTTTTTAGAAATGTATTTTCTTTTATTTTATAATCGGTGCTGAGCAACTGACCCATTTTTGGGTTTACGACAATGCTCAACTTCTTAGCCTCGTTACTTTGAATACAACCCAGAAGACAAGGGAAATTCTGGGTCATACATTGATAATACTAGCAATCATGAAAGATTTTGTTGATAAAAATGAACCACATTTGTGTTGCATGGAGAGAAGCCACGGAAATTTCCCGTCTTTTGCTTGACAGCAAAACGATTTCGAAACGATTAAGAAAATAATTAAAACAGAAAAAAATTATGTAATTGTCGGATTTTAACTCAGATGCAATCTTAATGGTTTGAAGTTTATGATAATTAGCTTCTGTAGAAGATAATTTAAAATTCAAAATCATACGCACGAAACGTAATTTTACTGAATTAACATTCATTTTTAGATGGATTCAAATCTTAGCTCCCCAAATTCAAGTAGAGATGTCCGTAATTGTCGAAATATGGACCCAATATTCTATTTACTCAGTTTACTATTAAATTTTCAAGTTCCTTATTTAATTATTCTATTTGTGTATTTTTCCATACATCAGGAATTATTTAAGCCAATAAAACATTTTTCTTCGCAGTTGGAAAACTACTCCACTCTAGATAAAGACTTCTACCAATAAAAAATAAACTTATTATAAATTGTAGCCTTCGTCAAAGTTGCGTACAAAATAATATCTAACACTTAAGAGTGCTTTTTGGTAATCTTCATTTAAATTCTTATCGTAAAAAATATAATAGAAAAAATAAGATCTAAAATGTTTGAAATACAATTCAAATGTTTTTTTCTCTCTTTTTTTTGCAAAAAGCGAAAATTTGGATGTCTCTATAATATACTTGTCCCATAAAAAAATTAGCACATGAAATGGTTTCACTTAAAGCTTTTTATGAAAGCACTTTAAAAATACTTTGTTATTCATAGGACTCGAATTCAGCCATGCAATTGAAAAAACAAAGTAGCTGCCGAGATTTTGAAAAGCATTTATGTTATTTCTTCAATAGCACGACAGTATATATTTCCCGTCTTAATTTTAACTTCTTACTTTTCATTACAGTTTTCAATCGCTGTAATTGACAGCTAGTCAAGGCTCCCATAGGTCCTCCCATAGGTCTTCCCATAGGTATTCCCATAGGAATTTGACATCTTGCTGTGTTTAAAATGCACACAAAAATGATGACCAGACAATAAAACTTCATAGTGGATAGATCTGAGAAAATAAAATAAATTAAATTTGATGTATAATATTTGTGTAAATATAACTTAAAGTGCAATTTTATAGATTATGAGTGTTCTTGAATTAAATTTTAGAAGTCCAATCTTCCATGTTAACCTATGGAACATGAAATAAGACAACAAGAAAATTGACGTTTGACTATGACTAATTAACTTAAATCTCCAATGAATATTTCATTTTAATTAGGGAAATGCAGCTTATGAAATCTCAGACATAATTTGTTTTCTTAAATTCCAATTAATTTTTAAAAATATTCCAACTTTTGATTTTTTTCTCAAAAAAGGTTGCTTTCGATGCAAAATGATAGATTTGGTAGCTCATTGTTATTTATCAAGTTTTAATGTTTTATTTTTCAAAACAATATTGTTAAAATTCTACCTAAATCAAGGTAAGTTTTTTAAAAAAGAAAAGAATATTAGGTTTAAAATTTCAACATTTTTACCTGCTTGGAAAGTCTACCTAAACATTTGGTTCAATAAAGTTGTTTTTAACAAATCATTGCAGGTTCAATTAGGGCAAGTTCTCAATGGATGTTGAAAAATGTTTCATTAATTAAGATACGTATTTCTCTTTTTCGATGATCAGTGGCTTTAGGGGGAAAATCAATACATTGAAGAGCATCTCTCGTACCAATCATAAGAAATTTCAAGCTAAATGTTTCTTTTCTTAAGATAAAGGTAGAAGTTAGTAAGGAATCCAGAAACTGACATGGTATTACACTGTAAGAAATTTTAGATCAAATTACGGTAAAAAGTACTGGCACCCTCCTGAGTGCAGCATTCGTAAAATCAATTTCGCCTTAAATTCCATAATTACCGTAAAATATTATAAAGCAATTTTTAATGTTATTTTCATTTAATTACATCGATTCAGTGAGTTTCCTGTTGAGAATACGTGTAATGCTGTAAAATTTACGATATATCTGATTTTTGTTTCATAAAATTTCAGGTAAAAAGGAATTTTACGGTAAAATGTACTGTCACCCTAAATGTCGGTACTTTTTTACCTTAATTTGATCTTTATATCATAATTTTTCATAATGCATTTGAGAATACTGCAATTTAACTCAAAACTCAATTGGATACTCAATTTAAAAGAAATTGTTCAGAAATGATTGAAACACTCACTGTTAATTATGAACTTGAAAGAATATTCCAACTGCATATTAAGTTTTAAAAAAATCCCTTATTATTAGCTTTTACAAAGGGTGGGAAGCTTTCATAAGTGAGTTTTGCACTAGGATATTAATCTTTCAAAAATGCAAAGACTAGCAAAGAAAAAATGTCGATGTTGTTAATGTAACAGAAAGTGAAAGGGTATTTAGAAAAATTTAGGATAAGTTAATAAATTGTAAAACAAAGAGTAACAAATATTGATTGCCAATTCAAACTAGCATTCCAAAACTGTCAAGTTCAGAAATTTTAAAGCAGGCGAAATTTATACAGTAATGTGCATATAGTTTTGTCTTCTAAAAGCAAGATATATTCCTGTAAAGACATAGTCATTCCAAAAAAAGTTTTGGAAAAAGCTGGCATTATAGAAAGTATCAAATGATTAGACAGACAAATTTAAGCAAAAATATGAAATAATCTTTGTGACTAAATTGTGTAGCAGAAAATTCTCTGAATTTGAAACGTGTAGAAGACATGACAAAAAAGCTAAATTGATTTTGTGCTCTATACTTCAGAACAAAAATTGGTCTGATAAAAAAATTGGGAAGCGTCTCACTATGCTACTTTGTTGCAACATGTAAGAAGAATTAGAGCAGTCTAATATTCTCCTTCCAAGTCATTAGAAACTTCAAAACTGCCAAAATGCTTCGATATAAGCAAAAAATCCTAATCCAATTCACTGGGATGTCACGGATCACAAAAAGCATTAAGTCTAAATGGAATCTGGATTGTAAGGAAAAAAAATTAGCCAAAGATGTAATGAATCTACTGTTTCTTGAACATTTGCCTACTTGCTCTTACCAGTCGCAAAATTGAAATTAGGGATATTGGTGTTTCTCTCACCTGAGACAACAATCAGTATCATAGATTTTTGTGATTGTGATTCCTCTGATAATAGAATGGTTTATTTCTTTATCTGAGGAATCACAATTCGCTTCAACAAACTGTTATTAAAACATATTAATTGACCAGTTTCTTGCGAAGCGAGTGGTAAGCTTGAAAAATGTGCCTTTGTAGAGAATTTGTACCGAAATTTGCGTTCTGGACTGCCTTGAAAAAAAAGCAGACTGTATAATTTCTGCTACGAGTGCTCTCAGTAAAAATATTAAAAATGAATTTTGTGAGCATCTTAAAATCAATGAAGCTCTAAAATGCATAAATGTTTAAAAAACGAAAGAAAGTAATTTTCGTATTTAATACCCGAATAAATACACCGGTTTATTTCAACTGTATAGTTAGTGAGATATAAACAGATGTTTTCAAAAACATCCCTCAGTTCAAAATAAATGATAGTGAGGTTAAAGACTTAAGATGGTTAGTAACTTTAAAGTCACAAATTTCCAATTAAACCTGTGCTACAGTTTAAATCAATTAATTTTCTGCGAGTGCGAAATTTCCAAATAACTATGCTAATTTCCTTTTTTTTTAAATCTAAAAATAAACATCTTAGCTGGGAATTAATTAATTTCAATTAAATACTGGAGACTTACTCAGTTGTATAAATATGTCATTGACTAAAATCCTAACCTGATATTTTTTACTTTAATCTATTTTCTGAATAAAAAAAGATATGAATTTTCTAATAAAAAAAGAAAATGTTTCGTTAGGAAGTTTACGCCATCATAATCTTCACTTTACGCAGATTATATAGAACTTTATTAATATTATTTTCAAAATATTCCATAAAACAGAATCATTTATTGTTTAATTTAAAACAGTGGCTAGTTTTAAACCACTTTTATTTTAAAATTGTCTCAAACAAATGATTTACCCCCGCTGTCTTTATTTCAGAACGATATCACAAATGGTTCCGGAATCACGAGAGAGACACAATAACAAAAAGAGTGTTCTAATTATTATTCTAGATAAACTAATAACTTAGAATGTATTCTCTCGTTAATTAACAACGTATACTCACCAAAATCTCCGATATCCGAGTTACAAAAATTTTTCCACAGGTTCGAGAGAGAAAAGCTGAAGAAGCTACTAATACAGTTCAAAAGAAAACGTCGCAAGCATTTTTATATTTCGCACATGTACAGTCACAAGAAAATTCTAAAGTTATTATTTTTAATTGCTCAAGTAAACGATATTAACTGACTAAACTTACAAAAATATTTTGTTCGCCAATATATCAACATCGAAGGTTTGTACGTCATAGTTAAAGCAAATATCTTTTATTCTTAATGGTTAGGCAAACATGGGTTCTATCACACGTTATTTAGAATTTACTCATATTTTGTTCATAAAATATGATTTTGAAAGTCACGTTTAATGCTACTCTTGTTACAAAAAGTGAAAAATCCTTAACCATATTGTCTTGTTACTTTAATATAAATTTTGTAATGATATTTTAGTTGTAAAAAAAGCAACACTTAACGTTAAAATGTCATAGTATTTCCAAATTGAGCCATAATATCAAAGAACAGTAATTTTTTTTTTGTAATTGGCTATTAAAAAAATAAATCATTAAAACAGCTTTCGTGAAGCATTATATTTTTGTAAATTTGCTTAATAAGTGTATTTTTATAAGTATATTTTTATGAAGCCCGCATATATACACGGTAGCTGTATACATCGAGCTGTATTTCATAGCCCCTCTGTTAGCAACAATTATTTAACTACACTGTAAAATGTTTTACCGCAAAAAGTACAGGTACTCTAGATGTAAGGTCCGTAAAATTAAGCTTAATCCCCTTTTATCGTAAAATTTCACACCATGTATTTTACAGTAATAATTATTTAACTACAGTGATTCAGCGATTTTACAATAAGTATTACTGTGAAAATTGCAGTATATCAAATGATTTGTTCAGAAAAATTTTAAGGTAAAATCGGTATTTTAAGGTGCATTTTATCATAATTTAAACCAAATTTTTTACAGTCTTACAATTTCATACCGAAATTTTTTACAATGTGTATTTAAGGAGCAAGCACAAAGAAGACACTCAGTTTTAATGGCCGCTGTAATTAAATGAACCAGTTAAAATAAATAAATAATACGCTTCGTGATTAGTATATTTGAGTAATTCCAGATATATTTTAGTTAAATTATATAATAAAAAATAAAATGACGCTATCACTTACTGATAAAGAAAGTGAGATTTCATTCTATGTCTTAAGGATTTTTTTATTTCAGTGAATTTAAGTTAACATAGTTTGTTTAGTACATACTTACTGTTGTGTGAACAGATTTCAAATTTGTTATTTTAAAAACAACTGAGGTCGTTCAAACATACTTAGCAATAAATTCTCAAGAAAAAAAACAAAAAGATTAAAAATATATTTTCGTGTTTACAGAAAATAACGTTTTGCACTTCTTTCATAGGAAACAACATGCGTATTCTTATTTATTTGCCGAACAAAATTTGATTTTAAATTAGGAAACTTCTTTCCAATAAAATTTAAGATTTGCTTGCATAATATTGGAAGTTCTTTTTGAAATATAAAATATTTATTACAAATTTTCAACAAAAAAAATGAAATTTTTTTTTTAAAATTATTTATTAAATTTGAGATTTTAAGCCTAAAGAAATAATTATTTTCTGATTTATATTTAACTTTGATTTGAAAAAAAAGTGAAAAAAATTTCAAAGTGTTAAAGTGAGTCTTGAGCGTAATAAATCATATTTTATATTACAAATTACGTTAAAAATCTATATTTTTCATTTCAAATTAGTTTACTTTGACAAGACAAAACCAGACCTATTGACTAAGCCTCGCAGACAACTTCAACGGCTGTTTACATAAAAGGCATTATTTTCCTAAATGAAGAAAAATTGCTTTGTGTAAACTTCTTCT